TGCGGCTTTTCGGTGCGGTGCGGTGTGGTGTCCCTTTCGGCCCGCGAGCCAACTGAGATCTCGGGCTGCCTTCTGCCTGCCCCTACGCGATTGGGTTCTTCATCAAGTTCAAGTTTTCATCAAGTTTGGTTCTGTTGCGTTTCGAATACACCAATGGAGTAGATATTCGGATGTCGAATATGCTATTATGGACTATACTATATGTGCGTTTTTGGTTTTAGCCTGGCTATATAGTTTTGATCAAGATTTTGCTAGCCCGTGATTTGACCAATATTGACAAAAAAAATAACTAGAGTGGACAGAGGAGCATTGACATGCCAGAAAATCGGTCGTGTTCCAAACAAAAACCAGAATTTTGGTCATGACCAAAATATTTGAAAGTGGATTTTGGTTAGAACCCAAATACATGCAAACGTATATCCTTGTGTTACTTACGATATTCGGATCTCAAACCGAGTGTGCGATAGACTCAAACCGTGAGTGCGGGGGAGGTGGTGATGGTTGCCTTTTGTAACTCTCTTCATGATTTCATGAAAGATTTATAAACACAATTATAGGTGCACATGCTTGGGTCGTACCCGCAAGATGGTCACATTGCTTATTTTCATCATGATACTCCAACCTACTACATATGTAGTCTTGCTGTGGTGAGGAATCACTTGTCTCAAGCCAGACTAGAATGTCTAGCCATAGTCGAGTCACAACTTGGATCCATTGTGATAAGCAAGTTTGTCCAATACAATGACTTCACAAACCCTCTTACAAGCATCAATCTCATGCTTCGAGCCTCATGAGTAATATCGCGGATAGATGAAGGTTATAAGAGGGTGAGCCTTCTCTTTCTTGGAGTGTCATGTGAGAGAGATCAATTCCATCTTTTTGAACGAGGTGTTTGGTGCAAAGGTTTCGTTCATTTATTTTTTTATTTTAAAGAGACACTTAAGGGGCAGCTTATATATGACATTTATTAAAGTAAACAACAACCATAACACTGGAAAGACAATCGAACGTAGACCGAGCAGCACAAGATAAAATCACATTGCAAAACATGCTAATCTCCTTCTTTCTCGATTGTACGCCATCTATTGGCGATTGAAAATTGCACTGCAAGTAAAGAAGGGGGGCATCTACAAACATCTTTGCCATGTCAGGCTTTAAAAAGACAGCAATAACCACTCGCCCCTTGAGACTAGATCTAGAGGTCACTAAAGAAGCATTAGTTGGAGCATCACCCCACACAAAAACAGGCTTGCAATCCATCACCACTGTTCCCCGGTGTTGGGGAAATCGGACCATGTTGTAGACTAACATAGAAGAAGATGTCAAAGTTGTTGCACCAATGGCCAACCAATTGCTTGCTCTCCTTGGAGGACACACCAACTGCCAAAATATGAAGAGAACCATCAAATCTGGAAATACAAACTCTCACAGGCTAGCTCCCTCTGGATCGGGCGTCGTCGAGATAGGAGAAGCCAGAGAGACCTAATTCCAACATGCCATTGTCGCCACCACCTTGTCGATGTCGATGGGGAAACAAAAACAAAGGAGAAAAAGGGAACGAACGGAAGGGTCCCCACTCCTCGTGTCGTCAACGAGGCCACCGGATGAGGGAGAGGAGGGGCCTATACGGAGGCACGGGGAAGAAATTTTGTCGGCGGCAGTGGCTAGGGTTGAGAGAGACTGGAAACGGTTTAATCTATTTGAAAGGGTGATTGTTGAAGCAAATTCTACCCATGAAACCATGTTTGATTTTTCAAAGTTATGTTGGATGAGGGAGATGAGAAGTGAATCTCGAAGCCACGAGCAACAAAGAGTGCAGGGTGTGCAAAATACACCGTAATATATCAGGAGAGGTGTAATTTTGAGTTGTGATTTTTGTGTATACACAACACAATGAGTTATAAGGTAGCTCAAGTATTCTAGATAAAATATGTAATACTCCGTTCTGTGGAACTTGAAAATGAATGTGGAAACATGTTCCATTCCAAAAATTGAGAGACTCAAGTCATGAGATCCTCGTGTTTCTTTAGCAAGGTAACCCATACTACCCTCGTCCTAATTTATTAGTCCCTTTTGTATTCTGTGACAAAGTTTGAATTTAAATTTAACTAATAAAATATTAATGTGTGTCACAAAAAATAATATAATTGAACGTATGTTCAAATACGAATCCAACGATATAATTTTTGATGACATGCATTAATATTTTATTAGTTAAATTTATAATCAAAATTCGACACAAAATGCAAAGGGGACTTATAAACCAGGACGGAGGTAGTAGGCCACATCATTAGTTATTTTTATTATACTTTGAAAATCTAGGGTGCTGAACTCACTATAAGTCAAGATATCTTAAGTTAGTAGAATTGCAGAGAACAAAGTGACATATCATATTGAATTATACGCGGTTAGAAACCACTTGAACTTGCCCCCCAAAATGTCGGATGCTCCACATAAATAACCACTATTTTTCTCAATAAATTTGGATGTCTGATTTGTAAAAGCACAAAAATAATTCTTATATCTTGTTTATTCTCAATTCTACACATCAAAGAGCAAATGTATTAGATGCGACAACAGGATCTGTGGTGTAGCTCATGACAGGGATCGGGCCCAACATGTCTGAATGGTCGAGTCTGTATCAGGAGATCATTCGGTTGGACCAACATCATAAAACCATCCGGCCAACTTACACCACGGCATCCATCCGACCAAACCAATAATGGGCAATAAAAACAGACATTCCTAGCAACGCCATCGAGTTAGCTTCATTATATTGTAGTAAAATCTTGTGGTAACTACCATCATCGTGGTAGCATTACTACAACGTGGCTCCCACGGCCATTGTACCCTTCATTGCCGTTGCCTCGTTGGTTCGGGCCTATAGGGATCGTGATTATCTTTGCCACATATTACCCTACTTGAGGTGCCTAAATTTGCAGGGAACCTTATCACATTTTTTCTATCTATGACATGTGGGGCTTACTGCTCATAAAAAGATTCTTGCCTTAGTTGTGACTATAACCAAACACACATCTAACTTGGTCACACTTGTCTAAACTGAGGTGTAGCAAAGTGTGGCCTGAAACCAAACAGAAATTAGACAAATAAATGCACAAGAGCTAGACAAACAACTACACAAGTGCTAGACAACACTATACCCATATGGTTCAAACACATTCAACAGGAGTAGAGTGTTACGCCTGGAATAAGGGAGTTAGAACCACGGTAAAAACCTCTCTCATGTGAAATCTCGTTCCTATATCATCCACGTGCGCATTGCCTCGTCAAAATTGCTCAAATCATGTGTACTGCCGCGAAATACCTGCGACGGAATGTGAATCTTCATTTTCATTTTCTTTGCAAATATTTGACACAAAAAGGACCTCAGGACCCTGCGGACACGGAAAAAATCCATTTAAAACCTTGAATTCATAGGTGTTCGGTGAATCAAACCATAAAGTCGAAATCCCTGTCATTCTCACCCTAAACTAACGAATCCCGATCCGAATCAAACCTTCGCGTCGTTGGGATTGCCGACATGGCAAAGGGGTGGCCGGGATGGGTCGTTCGGCGCGCACTTGCGGTGATAAAAGTGGGTCGGCCCACTTCGGCCCATCATCTCACTTCATTGTCTCCGCGTCCCCTGCCTTCCTCCTTCTCTTGCAACGACAATGGCGACCGACGGTTCATCGCCGCTGCTGCGACGATAGTGACAACTTGACGGCGCGTCCAAGAAGAAGGTAATGTCCTGGATGACCTCCTCCCATGTTCTTTATAGTTTAGAGTAGTTGCGGCATTAGAGTTAGGGTTTATAGCAGCAAAATTGGGAATGATTTTGGGTGACCCAAAATCTTGATTTTTTGTGAAGGGGAATAGGTTCATATGCTTTATTTTGATCGATGTGTATGTTTATCTTAGTGAAATCATGGACCTAAGTGAGATTTTGAACGTTCAATTTCATATTGGAGGGCAGTTCATCCACATTGGTCCAAATTTGGACTATGTTGGGGGAGAAGAAGCCATGTTAGAGATTGAGAGGGATAAACTGTCTCTGCAGGAAGTGAAAGGTTATATAAGAGATCATACTGAATTGAAGGAATCTATGAAGTTCTACTTTTCTGCTTCCTGGTAAAGAGCTTATCAATGGCTTGGTTTTTCCTTCATGATGACATTGGGTGTGTGAAGATGGTTGACTATATTTGTGTTGGAGGAGTTGTTGATGTGTATGTGGAGTATCATAGAGAGGAAGATAGCAATGACATCATCAGTGGGGGTGACTTTGAGGATGAAATAATGGAACAAAGTGATGATGAACCAGATGCAATGATAATTGTTGTTCAACCTGCAGAATCCGACACTGATGTTCTCATTACTGATGAAAGTGGTGTGATCACACAGAGAATTTGCATCCCCATCAAGCAGACAAGAGGCAGTGCAAGACAAGTAGACGTTGATCATGAAATGGCAGGGATTGAAGGAGTTTTTTTTTCAGGTTTTGAATCCAACTCAAGGTGCATCTGCCTCTGCTTCTGAACCTCAAGCTTCAGGCCATGTCAGTGACCAAATGGTCAAAGCTGCACATTTAAGAATGGCAAAGAAAATTCAGATTCAGAAAGTGACACTGAATACATTGGACATACTGATGACAGTGGGGAGGATTCAGAAGTTGTGGAGCTTAGAAGACATGCTAGGAAGTTTAAGAAAAGGATGAAGGAGTCCAAGAGCTAGATTTGAAGGGATACTACAGGTCCAGTGCCAATTGATCTAATTGCCAACACGGAGGAACAATTTGAAAGAGAAGAAATGGATTGGAATTATGATTCATCTGATGAAGACTACAACTATGATGAAGATTCAGATGGTCATATAAGGAAGAGGAAGAGCACATTCCCAAGATACAACACTGAAAGTGAAGTACCACATTTTGCTTTGACCATGGTTTTTAGAAGCAAGAATCAGTTGTGCAAAGCTTTGAGAAAATATGGACTAGTAACAAAAAGGAGCATCTTGTTCATGAAACCTGAGTGTGATATAGTAAGGGCAAAGTGTGGATGTCCTGGATGCCCATGGCATATATATGCAGCCAAGATATCAAGAACTTCAAGATTCCAAGTGATAACATACAATGATGATCACCAATGTGCACAGAATAGATGCAACAAATTATTGGTTACTGCAAAGGTGATTGCACAGAGGTATGAGCACTTCATATTGGCAAATCCTATGTGGAAAATTGACAGCATGAAAGCAACTGTTTTGCAAGATATGGTTGCTGATGTCTCCACTTCAAAGTGCAAGCATGCAAAAAAATTGTCATGGATAAATTGTTGTGTGGAATGAACAATGAGTACACTAGAGTA